ATTGTATGTTAGTTTATTTAATTATTTAGTTAATTGTATTTTTGGTATTTTAATTCTTTTAAATGCTTAATTGGATTAATTTAGGGTTTTGTTTTAGAAGTTAAGTCTTGGTAACCGACGTAGATTTTAATTAGGATTCTCTATGGGACGGTTAGGATTCATTGTAGGGTTTGGCTTGATTTTAGGTTCTGCATAAACCTATAAATATAAGTATTAAGTCTGCTTAGGGTTTTAGAAAAAAAAAATTATTCACGACAATGGAGGCAGAGAGAGAACAGAGGAAGATTTCAGTAGGACGTTGCCGGAGAACGTAGGAAGACGACTGTGCAAGGCTAAAGGCAAAAGGCAAGTTCTATTCCTAACTCTCTCCCTTTGACTTGTGTTCTTTACATGTTTAATGCAACTCCAGGACTAATAAAGATTAATATTAAACCAGATGGCTTGTCTGAATGAAAAACAAAACTGGTTGTGGTTACATGTTACGTATTGGTTGTTTCGGATTCTTTCTTGCGTAACTCCTGAATTAATTCATGTAAATTAATGTGAACAGAGTTGAATTAGTCTGTAACACATTGGGAAGTAATAACAAAGATCTGGTTTGTATGGTAGGTTCGTTTGGAACTGCATGTGTTTACATGCTTTAAAATTCCTTGTTATAACTCATCTTTGCTTATTTCCTGTTCTTATTCAAGTGGATTGAAGATTAAGGAGTTTTAAATTATCTGGAGCATTGGAAACCTAGTTTTAGTCAAGAGAAACCTTTAAAGTTAAGGACAAATCAAACTGGGGGTCGCCGGAGATGAAACTGAAGAAGGAACGCAAGCAGAGAGGGGAACAGGAGGAAGAGGCGGCTCCACATAAGGTGGAGCCGGCTCTAGGGTGTGTGGAGGCGGCTCCACATGGAGTGGAGCCGGCTCCACACAAGGGGGAGGTGGCTCCCCATGTGGGGGAGGCGGCTCCTTCCCTTTTTGATGCAATTTTTGACGAATTTTGCTTCTGGGTTGAGTTTTTGATCTGTTTGGGACATTCAGGGACTGTACATGGGAACCTTAATGAGTTTTAAGATTATATTAAAGCTTTAGAGGGTGTGGGAATGGTTAATAAACCACTTGGGGTTTATAAGTTGAACAATAATCAGTTCTAAACAAAGATGTAAACTATTAGGGGAAGCAAGTGGTTTAAGTTGCATAATTTGTTGTAGAAACTTTCTGTAAATGATTATCAAATTCTAATCATGTATTAATGGTATAAAATAAGCATTGTTAAAATCTATGTATTTTTACTATACTTGTTAAGGAGTAATTGATGTTTAAATTTCAACATTTATCGCATCAATTGTTGGACTGGGGATATAAGCATGATAATTTGTCAATGTTTATTATACTTGCTATGGAATTAATTGAGGTAGACATTTATTCATGTTCTCTTAATTATATGGATTCTGGAATAAATTGATAATTACATATACTGTTGTATTGCCAATTGCTGGATTATGGTTACGTAGTTTAAAAGCAGCATATTAAATTACATAATTTTTGTATGCTCTTTATGGAACAATTGAATGTCTAGTTTAATATTTTTATTTTAAATTGTTGGATTTATGGATCAGTTGATATTTACATGCATGGTCTGTGTTATCAACTACTGGATGGATGAAATGTATGCACCGGTATGGGACGGTGGCATACAAGAGGGATTAGCTCAAAAATCGCTAAGTCCTACCTATTCTGGGATTAAGGAAATGGATTGACTAAAAGTTAAATCCTATGGATTTGTAGTGTCAAGGCAACATATAGTTGAGCGGAACTACTATGGATTCTGGATGGATTTTAAATATATTTTTATGGTACCTCGATATGAGCTTGAGTCTCAGGATCGACGGTTAGGGAGCGTATATGCATTGGAATGCATAGCTGGCTATGATGGTTGGAGGTGTACCCTGTTAGGCTTAGGTACACATGCCCACTTTGTGTGCGTTTTGGATGTTGCCTCTATTCAGGTTGAGACCGGCCTGTAGTCCAGTGAGAGTCCTTTAGTGTGATTATATATATATATACATACGGACTATTAGCTATTGTTGAGTTGGTTAGAATGTACATGCGTATCGAGTCTCTGCTTGGATTCTAGTAGGATAGAACTTGCGCGTGGGCCTGACCCACTTCTATTTTTCAGGTACACGACAGTTCCAGGCTTAGACGTGTTTGTGTTGAGCAGAGGTCTCTATTCACTCTTCCGACGATGTAGGATTTCTCTCCATAGTTTTATTTTTGGATGTTTATTACAGTTGTTTTATCTTCCGGTTGGATGTTTAATAGGGGTCCACTAGAGATGGATTCCCGAGTTGTAAACTGATGGAGTTTTGGAGTTTGGGTTATCAGATTCTAAGTATTTAATTATAAATGATTTTATTTTTAGCTTCTTCCAGCTTAAACTTTATTTATTAAATTCATTTTGTATTCTGTGTTCGATTTAAAATACTTTAATTGTTTGATATCCCTCGGGTTTGGGCCTGGGCCTGATCAACCCATGTCTCGGATCCGAGGGGTATCACAATTTTTGAGTTCGATAGTATATATTTTACATACAATAATGCATTATGAAAATGACGATACTTGCATACTCACTGGTGAGTAGGTTTATTTTACTGACCGATTATGTGTTCCAATAATAAGTGGACACATCAGCTTTAATGACAAAAAAAAAAAAAAAAAAAAAGTAATTGAAAAAAGAGAATAAAGTCGGATTGACCCGTTTCAATTGGGTAGTAATAACCCTATGTATCTATATATATATATTTTTTTCTCTCTTTCACTCCCTTCCCAGATTCACACCGTCATCCCTTTATTATTCTTCTTCCTCTCGTCTTTTGTGGAACATCGTCAATCAATAGGCGAACACTTTTTGCAAAATTTCTCGAGCTTCATATCACTCAATAGGCAAGAGTGGGCTATGGGGTTACTTTTTCTGACTTCTTCTCACGACTTCCTTAGAACTTCTGATCCTATTTGATTACTATTAAGTCTATTATTATGATCATATATGCTTTCTAGTATGAATTATTTGTATATAGGTTATCTACCGTTGAATATGTATGTTTAGAGATTAAGACTGCAATTGATGTAATCGCTTTGTTGGAAGAAAAACAAACAGAGCTTTTCAAGTTTGTACTATGACCGTGTTAGTAAAAAAATTTCTGGTTGATTAATTTCCAAAAAAAAAAATAAATTCTGATTGATTTGTTTATTTACTGGAAAAAAAATATTTTATATATCACATTAGATGTTATAAATAACATAAATCATATAATCTAATTGAGGTTTGTAGAGACGCAGTATGAAGAGAATTAACAATAACCGTCTATTGATTGATGATGACCTGTGAGAAGAAGAAGAACAATGGAGAAACTGCGATGGGTGAAAGAGAGGAAAAAAAAATTAGGGTTTGAATACAGGCGGTGAGTTACCCAATTGAAACGGGTCGATCCAAATTTATTTTCTTTTTTCAATTACTTTTTTGAATTTGTCATTAGAATTAATGTGTCCACTTATTATTGGAACACATTATTGGTTCATAGAATAAACATACTCACCAATGAGTAGGCAAATATTGTCCTTATGAAAAATACTCCACTTACATACATTTTTCAGATGCCTTTAATCATTTATTGAACAAAAACGATTTTTAAAATGATAATATATTTTTTATCACAAAATTTATTACCATTTGTACTCTGTATTAGTTTGTATGTGTATATTTGAGTTTTTTTTTACTATTTACATATTTATCAAGGGCTCTGGGCTGCAACTCGGGCGGGTTGGGTAGGTTTGAGGTATAACTTGAGTCTAACCCACCATATGCAATGTTAAACTCAAGCCCAGCCCAACCCTATCTTCAACCCTAACTACTTAATCCAAGCCTAACCCATCATTTTACTTTTAAATTCAGTTTGCAACCCGGGTTCAAATTCCATGTTAAAAAATGGGGTGAATTCGAGTTACTCATATAACTAATATTCAAACAAAAAATTTAATATCATCTTGAATTAGTTTTAGATTAAATTACTCTTAGGAAATAAAATAAAAAACTTAAAAGCATTTTATAAATTTTGAATAAATTACAAACAAATTATTAGAAATTTAATTATCTTAAATGTTAACATACAATAAGTTAAGATTTAACAAATGAAATTGAAAACAAAAAAGGTAATCGTAGTTTAAATATTATATATAATGTATTTAAAATTTAAAATATATATGAAAATAATATTAGAATTCGGGTTTGGATTTGTTCGGGTTGCTAGTACCTTAATCCAAGTCTAATTCTAATTAAATCCGGGTTAATATTTTTCAACCCAGACCCAACCTTATTTGTAAAAATAATTGTCTAAGCTCACGAAAAATCAGGTGGGCTCGGGTTGGGTTCAGGTTGTTCAACCAAAGTTGCATCCTTATTTGTGACTAAGGCTCCGTTTGTTTAGACGTAAAATATTTTTCAGAATTTTTTTTTTTTATTTTTTGTTGTTTGGTTGTCGTAAAATATTTATGAAGAAAAAAAATATTAAAATTCAAAAAAATAATTTATCCATCAATTTTCGACAAGTTATTTTACATGTCCCATCAATAATGGTATTTCTCATCATAAGAATGATATTTATATACATAAAAGTGATATTTCTATGTACAAAAATATTGTACTTGTAAACTCAACCTCAATCTCAACATCAACGTAAATCTTTGCCAAATACCGACAAAGTAAAAATAAAAGAATATTTTACCTAAAAAGAAAAATATTTTTCAAAAAGAATATTTTAGGTCTAAACAAACTGAGTTTAAGTGATATTTATTCTATTTTTCAAAGTGGATGGTGGAAAAAAAAAAAAAAAAAATACATATTAATAATTTAATAAACCAAATTTTCAATCATATTTTTTTATATAAAAAAAATAAAAAATTGTACTGCATTTGTAAGTAATCACGTCTTCTTCCGTCATTTACTCTAATTATACAGTGACCGGAGAGGATCCAAACCTATACATAAGTGGGAATCTCAATAGCATCCATGAGTATTCAGTTCTTAAGTCGTGACTGTACTTAAAAAACCTTAAACCCCCCTCAAAGTGGTAACCACCAAGGCTTATTACCTCCTCCCTAAAACCCTAATTTTCAGTGACACAGCTTTCTTTGCTCTTTAAATTCTATTTCGCCTTGATCATTCTTTCTTCAATAAGGATCAAAGATGTCCAAGAATAAACCTGAACCAGATTCAAATCAAAACCCTAGAGTGACCTGGGAAGGTTGTAGTGTCTTGCTCGACATCAACGATGGCGACCGTTTGGTTTTCGCTCGTCTCACAGCCGGCTCGTAAGTATATACGCTGTCATATATGCACATATATAAATTGATCTTGTTTCAGTGCTATAACTGCATAAATTGATGCTGAACGGAATTGCAGGACATTGAAAATTGGGAACAAGAATTGTTCTCTTCAGCCTTTGATTGGTTGCCCCTTCGGTTCTTTGTTTGAATTAGAGAATGGAAGGGAAGGTCCGTGCTTATCTCGCGTTATTCCCATTAATGAAGGTTTGATTCTCTTTTTATGTCTTTCATTCTCTTGCTTGAATTGATTTGGTGGCGTTTTGTAATCTTTTTCAAGCATTGTTGTTTTTTTTTGCCTTAAAGAACTGAAATTGAACAAAAAGATTGTTAATTTAATATATATATTTGTTTTAATTGAGTATATATTTTTAGGATAGTTCATAAAGTTTGCTGTAGAAACATCATAATGTCATATTACAAATCCATGAAGTTTAATTGAGCCTTTATACTCCTCCCTTTCAACAGGAAAAAAATCATCATCAAAAGACTAGGCTATGTGGAATATGATTAAATTGAATTAATTGTTAAATTTTCATGTAAATATTATTATTATTATTTTTATCTGTAGGACCCTTCCAATATCTTGATTGTAAATTAATGAACCCCCTCCTCTCCTTTGCCTAGTGTTTTCAAATTTCTAATGTGTTTGCTAGATTTCCATCTCAGGTAAAGGGGATTGTCAAATAAAAGAGGAGTCCAAAGACAACCGGGCATTAGTTGATAATAATACAGCCCAAAGTCTTACTGGTGAAGAAATAGATGAGATGAGGAGGTAAGAATGTTATGTCACTTTGCCCGTTGTGCATAACACATATTTAACATCTTACACCCCCTCCCAAAAAAAAAAAAAAAAGAAAAAATGTTTAGCATCTCTCTTTAAATAGACTCTAAAGATTATCTATGTTCGTTGTGAATGCTTATTGTTGTGGATGCGCTGTGCATATGCATACAGTTTGTTTGGAGCTTTTGTATGCATCATCCATGCATGCATAATTATGCTTATTTTGTTTAACATCACTTAGGACATTCTAGTTAGTAAAATATTTAAAAAAGCAATCAGGATGCCATGTACTTCGCACTTGATCCATTATGGAATCTTGTTTATATTTCCATGGAAATTAACAAGCCGTAGGTCTGAATGTGGTGTGTTAAAGTATGGTATGCATTGGTCTGATTTGTTTGAATTTTAACTTGTAACATGCTCATGTCTTTTCTCTCTCATTTACCTATCAATTTGATCATCTGTTTCCAATCTCTTCTCTCTTAATGCTTTGTTTTGAAGAGTGAAAAAAATAATAAATAAAAAAATTAGGGGTCCATATGTTAATGCACAAAATTGAGAACAGATTATATATAGCCCTTGAAAGCCCAGGTAGTAGGTGACAATATGTGTCGGAGCCTTTCAAAGGTTCAACCTATTCTAATAATTTTTATATAATGAATATAGTGTTGTCGGAGACCATTGTTGTCAAAAGTGCGTGTCTAGGCTCCAGGCTCGACACCAGCGCCTGTTATGAGCCCAGGCGCGTCTTTGACAACATTTGCACCTTTAATATGGAATATGATTTCTTTAATAGTAATTTAATTTTTTCAATTGTGTGCCTCGCTTCACTGAGGCGCGTGCCTCGCCTCACTCAGGCGCATGAATGCGCCTTATGCCTAGGCTCCAAAGGACCTCTAGAGCCATAGTGTGCCTTGGGCCTTTGATAACACTGTCAGAGACCATGGAGAGAGATAGAAGAGAGAGAAATTGAGAAATTCAATTCATGAATTTTTGTTCTGAAACTAATACTTGCTTGAAAAAAAATATTTCTACAAATATGCAATGAAACATATATTGAAATCACAAACAATAAAATATCAAAACTTAGAGAGAAGATATGAATGAGATGAGATATTCAAGGGTGTCGAAAATTGATGAGAGTGGTCATGGACAACCATTGAGGCATATACTGATTCAGTCCAAAAAGGTGTTACTACTAATCGAGGGAAGAATTGGAGAGGGAAGGATTGTACACACACACACACACAGATATATATATATATATATTATTATATATAGAGAGAGAGATGGTTGATATTCAAGTGAGATTTCAGGGGAAAAAAGAAAAAGAAAAAAAGAGAAGTTACTTTTCCTGAAAAGTCAATGAAGTGATAATAAGAAGGTAAAACAGAAGCTTAATGTCCGGTTATATAATAGGTGACTTATTCTCATATGTCGATAATGGACCAGTTGAAACTTTCCTTTATAATTTACTGCACATTCCAATTTAGAGGATCTGGGCTCAAAAGTAAATCAACACTAACTGTATGGTTCTGAGTGTCACATGAGCAAGAATCATATCTATCATCATTCTAGGTATTAAATTGCTCTGCCTTTTACCAGTTGGACTATTTATCTAATGATCTCAACAAGTTACATTTCAGGTTGGTTATATATATCTCCACAAAGGCAAAGCAAATTCATTCTTTTGACTGATATGTCCACTCGAAGTTGATATACTTGTATTATGCATCCTGTTATATGTTTTTGTGTGGTAATTTCTGCTGGAGTAGGAAAAAGAGCGTTTGGATTGCTATGGAATTTTGTCCTTAACTTTTAATTTTGGGGCACTGTATATGAATTCAATGTACTAGATTAGACGTCATACTGCTATTTATTTTTTACTATTCCCTTTGTTTGCACTGGGTCTTGTGCAGAATGTTTCTCTATCAAACCAAATTCTGCATATGCTTTTTGCCATAATTTACCTTCTTTAGATGTTTATGCACAACTTGCTAATGTATCACTTTGATGCAGACAGGGTGCCACTGGGGATGAAATAGTTGAAGCTCTCATTGCTAACAGCGCAACGTTTGACAAGAAAACATCATTCTCACAAGTGAGCTTAGCTTATGTTATACAAATGTACAATAATGTTTATGTAAAAAGTATGCTGATTCCTGTCTGTCTGCAGGAGAAATATAGACTAAAGAAGCAAAAGAAATATGCACCTAGAGTACTCTTGAGGCGTCCTTTTGCACGAAGGTGAACTCAAGTTATTTATTTATATATATATATATTAATTCCTCTTAAGACAGTATTTAATTAATTTGTAAATCAAAATTTTGTTCATTCGCCTTAAGTTTATTTTTATATTTATTCCGCAAAATTGAGATATTTTAGGGTTGACTGGAAAGAAATTACATTCCTTGGGTCAGATACTATGGAAGTGACATTGAATTTATCATCATTATCTATGCACTAAATTATATTAGAACTTCAGTTTCAACCATTGCAGGGATTTGTTGTATGTTGTTCCTTCTAAGTTTAAACTTCTTATGCCATTGCCAACATCAATTCAAACTTAATTTTGTAACATCATTTGTAACTTAGTTTTTGATGTTTATTAGCACTGTGCTACTAGTCTGGGTTCAATTTCTCAAAAAAGTTTGAAGCCCACTTTTGTTGTTGTTGTTATAATTGATTTTTCTTTATCAAAAGGGAAAACTTCATAGCCAACAATAACACAGGATGGCTTATAGTTTTTGAAATGATTTGAATTGGATTGTTATAATATTTTCAAAATATTTATTTTCCACCTGCACTTTGGAACCAGTATTTGTAGTTAAGTTGAAGGTGGCTTCTAAGAATATTTTGATGGATGTTGTCTAAACAAATCCAATGAGAAGTTCATTTGGATTATTAAGGTCAGCCATCAAGTGTTAATCATAGTGTATATTGGGCAATGAAGTGTGTGATTGGCAAGATTAGAAAGGATAAAATCAACTTTATTAGGAAAAAAAACATATGTTTAGAGTCAGGAGGTGTAAGAGTATGATAAATTTTTCATAGAATTTAGTAGTGTACTGTATATCCATGATCTCACCATCTAAGTAGCATTTTTTTGAGGATTTCCTTTTGCAAGGAAAAAGTAATCTCCATGGAAATGGGTGGAAATTGTGACAGATGATATGTCTTGTGGGAGACAATGAGTCTTGTGACTTATCTTCCAACTGTTTAGGGTTGGTTAACTAATTATGTTTAGCATTTAGCTCTGGTTAGAGACATATGTCCAAACTATATGTTAACTTGTCTTTCTTAGTATACCAACCAATGTTAAATTTGGTCTAACCTTCCCTAGCATTACCTTCAGTTTGTACCATTTCATTGCGTTTGTCTTTATTTGGAATTTAACACTTCACGGTTACTGTATGCATGTTCTGTTTGTCACTTACATGCTATACTTATTTTGTTCACTTTTATATAGGATGGGCTTTCTTCTTATAATTTCTAAAGCACCAATAAATTAGTTTCTTATCACACTTCTATAAAGGATTTATGTCTCCCTCTAACTTGTAATAGGTCTTTTTGAGTATTAAAAACTTCTTTCTTTCTTACCAAAATTAATAAATAAATAAGGGTGGATTGTAGGGTAATTTGGTTGAAGAAGAAAGCAAACAAGTTTCCATATTGTTTTTCCAATGGGAAACAGCTATTTGGAGTATAAATTATTTTTATGTCTTGCGCTGATAGTGTCTTGCCAATGGACTTGTCGCTGGGGTTGCTTTTGGTATCCAAGTATTTTGTTTCTTCGTGTGACCATTAGTGCCCGACGTTCTGCGGTAACGTGACTGTTGAACACGAAGACCTATTTGACTCTCATGGTCATGACACGTGTATGTCACCCTCCAAATGCAATAGTTTTTTTCATTTTTTGGGCTCAGAAAATAGTTAGTCTTGTTTTGCTTTTTCCTTTTTCTGGTTCAGAGCCAATACTTAGTTTTACGTGCATTGTCCTTAATAAATTCCTGGGCAATTCTATAAGATAGTAGAAAGTGGGATATAGCATTGGCCCGTATTGGGGGAATTTGGACTGACAAGCATGAGGATACAGGTTTGTGCCCGAGACCAGTCGGTGCAAAATTATTGTATGTCTATAGTTTATCTATCCTGACAACTTGAGTAAGCACAACCAGCACTGGTAATGACATTTCTTGTGTCTAGTCTAGATGCATGTGTGTGCATTGCTATGTCCTCACCAAGATTTATACGTGAGCAATCAGCATGTTTGTGTTGTATCAAGCCCATGTGATGCAACATAATTTATTTATTCTTTATTGTGAGTCTACTGGGAATTCCACCATGTGTAACTTTATCTAGAAGTAACTAGACAGGGCTGTAGATTCTGCAGAAAGGCAAACTTAAAATGAAATGTCATGGAAAGTTCACTACCCACCCCTCCCCCTACATCTGGCATATCGGTTTCTAAACACTTCCCACTCATCTATCCCAACGCCGCAAGAATTCCATCATTTGTGATTTTCACTTATCCCGATGCTGTGTTCTGTTACCAAAGTAAAAAGTAAAATAAAAAACAATAATTAAAATAAATTAGAAATTAAATAAAGGAAAACAAAATAACATATATGCGTTTTCTATTGTTTGGCTCCTAAAAATATGGCTACATGAGAAACTGAAGTTGAGTGGTTTTAATATTTGTAGAACGTATAGTCGAGAAGGTTCTTTGACATTTCTAGGAACTAAGATGACAGAATATGCAAGGTCTCATAATAAATAATGCCTAGCTGTATCTGGACTTCTCTTTCAGTGGTTACTATGTTAAAATTTATCGAAAGTTTTTAGTGTTTTTTAATCAGAATTTGTTTTCTATTTGCTGACTTGTTTTTGTCTTATTCTTTACAGTATATGTGAGGCATACTTCAAGAAGTATCCTGCCAGAATTGGGTAATTATATCGAATCAATGACTTGTTTTGAAGTACTTATTATTTTGTTTTGGTTTAGTCATTCCGATTTGGGGCCAGCATTTTTTGAAGTTCAAACTAGCCTATCAGGAGGATATTCTGTTGAGCTTTGGTCGTCTTTATCTCTTTGAGGTTATTTTGTGCATAGTCACAATATTAATATGTATAGTATTTGTTTTTTTAATGTATTCTAATGGACTCAGAAAGATACCACTAATTTTATGCTTCTGACCTTATATTTATGCTAATGGTGTACATAAATGTGTTATTTTTGTGTTACTTTCACATTTTCATAGAGTTACTGAGTTATCTTTGATTTCTGAATCCATCACATGTTTGAGGTTTGAGGGTTTTTTGCACCTCTTGCTTTTAGATTTTTTTTGCTAATTATGAGAGATCTCATGCACAAAATAAGTTTTTGAAATGATTTATAGAATGTATAACAACCAGGACCTCTAGATGTGCAAGTTACGGCCCGGCCCTTACTCTTTATATGGTGGATCTCTCTCTCTCTCTCTCGTTTGGCCTCTCTCTCTCTCTCTCTCTCTCTCTCTCTCTCTCTCTCTCTCTCTCTCTCTCTCTCTCGTTTTAGCCAGATTATATCACTGATTAGAGCTGCATGTCCAATCTTTCCCAAAAAGTAACTCCATTCTCTTATCCTTTTTTTAGCCACAACCCACAATGAAATGCTTCAAGATAATTATTTCGGAAGTGTTCCTAACTATATTTTGTATGACTTCTGGCTGCAAAAAGTGATGGTAGTGATAGCTTCTTATGCTATTTATGCCCTATCAGATACTCGGTTGTAGCCTTCCAGTTATTTTATGCAGATTTGGGTGTGGGCATGAGTCTCAAAGTTGATGGTATAACTCTTTCATTAGGGTAGGACTGATCCTGGTGAATATTAGTATATAAAGTATAAATTAAGGCATGTGCATACATAGGAAGAGTGTTGGATTCTGGAAGTTCTGGTGCTTGTGAAATAAAAATCATAATATGAACTTCTTCCAGATGAAAAAAACTGCTGATATTGTTTACTATTTTTCTCATGAATTTCTCAGGCTGTGTACTTCATCTTACGATTGTTGAATATTATGTTTATCTTATTTTGATTGTCAATGGATGAATTCACATGAATATTGGGGTAACAAGTTGGTTCATTCCTTGTGTTTGGAACTTTGGATGGAAATAATTTCTATAAGTATATAAGGGAATCTTAGGATTACTTTTGCTTGTGCTGTTCAGGTTCTTGAGAGTGGACACTCTATCTCTTCTGCTTTCCATGGCTAATGTCACCACATACTCTGATGTCCTTGTGGTGGATATGGTTGGTGGTATTCTTACTGGAGCTGTTGCTGAACGTTTGGGAGGTTAGCTACTTGGTTTCTTCATTAGAACACATAACCTGCTTCTGAGCCTGCCATATGGACTTGTTGAATTTGTTTATTTTGTATATTTATATTAGGTTGCTATCGCTTGAGCTTACTTTGATGCCATTTCTCCAAACCAAAACAAGTGTTTTCTTTTGCTGAAACAAGTCCATGGGATTTGTCATGCAAATTTCGGAGCCTCTGTTAAGCACAACAGCACCATGGACCTTTCTCAGGGAAAGAAATCAGAAGAGATTCTATTTTTGCAGTTGGAATTAATTGCTTGGGTTGTAACTAATTGTCTTTGCTGCTGTGTCCTTTGTCGATTGGAATTGATTTTATGGAAAATTGTGATGGAAGTTATTTCTGAAGCTTTCTTGATGTTCATATAAATGCACAATATGTTTCCCATCATCATAATTACTATGTTTGTATGGGATTTTTCTTTATTTGATATAGGCTCAATATTCCAATATTGTGGAGCATTCTGTGGCAATATTATGCTCATACATATAGAATACTTTGACTTCATTCATATACCTCCCGTTTGTCTTCTCTGTGGTTTTTAGTTTTAATATTACAGCTTTATTGTATGGTTACTTATTTTCTGTAATTTGTATTATTTATTACATTAATTGGAATGTGACCACTGTTTTTTTGATCCACACAGAAGCTCAAATATCCTAGAAATTTTGTAACCATACTGGGATGTTGTCACCACTTCTAGTGATAACTATTGAAGTTAGCATTTTCCAATAGTTTGATGTGCCTCTTGGATGCGGTTGTCATCATGAATTTTTGTGACATTAATAATTTCATTTGCATTGCTGTATTTTTATGGCACTTTACTTGGGGAAATTTATTGCTACAGTCAATTAATGTAAAGGAGAAAAACTGATGCATGCACCATTTGATTGTTGAATGATGTTTCCTGTTTCAACAGGTACAGGTTGTGTGTGCAATACCCATCTTGGAGTTACACCATATCCTATTGATATAGTAAGGATTTTCAACTTAAGTAATGAAATTTGCAAAAGGTATGCTTCTTTTAAGCTTTATTGAAGTTGTGTGGTTTTCTAATATCTTCCTCCAAAATTCCTCTTTGTTGGATCTTGTTAGTTTTTGAGTTACTTAATAGGTTTTTGTTTAATGCTGCTTATTGGTGTTTTGGGTCCAGGATTGTGCAGTCTCCACTCACGGAACTTTGTTCAGGTCAAAATGGGGTTTCTGCCCAAATTGGCCAACCTGAAGCTGTCTGTAATATCAAAAGTCAGTCAAATGTAGGTGATACTTCCTCATTATCTAAATGCATTTCACCTTGTGGTCTTTTAACATTCCTAAAAACCATTTTGTGCAGGAAGAAATGTTATCTTCGTCTTCTCTTTCACATTCACTCAATATGGGTGAAACTGCACTTTCTTCTGAACATGGGTCATTGAATTCTATTTCTGAGACTGCAGCATCTCCAGTTATCAAAGCATGCAAAGCTACAAAAGCTGGAGAGAAGGCTTCACAAGAGGCCATTAACATTTGGAGAGAGAATGGTTTTTCCAGGTTGATTGCTGACTGATTATTTGGTTTATGAATCATAAGATGGCCTTAATTAACTTTCTTATATTCACATCCTTTCTTCAGCCTAATAGTTGCAGCTCCGGACCTGGATGCTTGGAGCATTGTAAAAGAACTCATCCCACTTCTATCATTTTCAGCTCCCTTCGCAATTTTTCATCAATATATTCAGGTTATTTGCTTTAAACTTTTTTGTTTCATGTAGATGGGTAATCATGTTAAGTTGCTATTTGCTTGAGGTGCAGGGCCTTATTTTTTTATTTTTGGCTTTATTTATTTATTTTTATATATAAAACAAATAAATTCTCCTTGTTGAGTTGTTTGATGGAATAAATTTGTACAAGTTAACTATAGGTCAGTGGAAGTAATTTTGGGGGAGGTCCAGGCACTATATCTTTACCCTGTTTCCTAGAAAAACGTGATAATGATGTTACCCCAGGTGACAGGATGATTGTGTGGAAGTAAATGAACTAAGACAGATCTGATGAGGGAAAGGAGGAAAGGAAGTTTCCAATTATTGAAATTTATGGAGTCACTGAATTGCAATAAGAATTTCCATGCATTATATCATATGGTTTTGTTGCATATTTGCTGTCATGGATTTGTTTGGTTGATTTAAATGAACTAAGATCTGATGAGGGAAAGGAGGAAAGGAAGTTTCTAATTATTGAGATTTATGGAGTCAGAATTGCAATAAGAATTTCCATGCATTATGTCATATGGTTTTGTTGCATATTTACTGTCGTGGATTTGTTTGGTTGATTTATAGTGTCATTGATAGTATCCTCTGTTTTGAACATCTTAGAGAAATTACTAATTGATGCTACTTTCCTGCTCAAATGCAGCCTCTTGCAACATGCATGCACAACCTGCAGCTTGGGAAAATGGCAATTGGCTTGCAAATTTCAGAACCTTGGCTTCGTGAATATCAGGTTTTATTTTATTTTCTAATGTGTTATTTATTCTTTATCTTTTTCCTTCTCAGGGATTCATTTATGCTTTTCTTTCTTTCTTTTCCTTTCTTATTATTATTATTTTCTTTTTGGCTAATTGATCTAGATAACTGTGCTAAATAGAGTTAATTATTCATGTAATAATGTATGTCAATGCATACAAGGGATGCATGTGCCATGCAAACAATCCATCTTCACATAAAGAGACAATGGGACTTGACAAATGGAAGCTGAAGTTGATTTGGCATAGCATTATGGGAAAATTACCAATAAAACTTGTACTTTGCACTTTTAAAGATAACTAAGTCGTATAAAATGTAGTAAACCTTAGATGGAAAAAGTACGACTTCTAGGTAATTTTCCCTAATATTATGGCCATGGATGTGGACGCTATAATCTATAAATCTGTATTTAATACAAATCATAAGGGTAACATTTTGTCTCATGAGACCTGTTAGTTTTAACTTTTAAGATAATATTATAACTAGAAATTGCTCATATCATAACCCTATGATTTGTTTGGTGGTGGATATGAGTGAATCTCTACTCTAAAGAGCCTAAAGCTTGAAATATCAAATATGCCATCGTACTATTCTCCAAGTGAATATATTGTGCTTTTTTGCTATATTTTCAGTGTTTACATTTATTTCTGCAATCTTGCAATCTTTTGGTTACGGTTACAATCTGGGTCATTTGTAAGGAATAGATTATGTAGGGGAGTCGCATATTATAAGTACATTATCCCCATTATGGAAGTTATTGAGCCTAATGCCTATAGCAAGGTTATCTTTCCTATCCAATTCGATAGGGTTATAGGGGTCAAGTGATCAACTTGCTTGGGATTAAGATACGTTGATTCCGTTATCTTGCTTAGCCAAATAAATGGATATGTGCTCTAATTATTTAGTAGATAATTATGGTTCACTATTGACAATGCTGTACTTTCCTTGTGATGTGTATTATTGTGCATTTAAATGCATGCGTTTAGAATCCAAGATTGTCGTTGGCATATTTATTGACTATTGTAAACTATACGAGCCAATCATCTTCTGTATATGTACTTTTTGGTTTATTTATACACTTGCTTTCACATGGAATTAAGTTCTTCATTCTAAGTAGTATTATTTGTGCTTGCCAAATGCCAGACTGATATTTTCGTGTTCCTGAAAATCGTGCAGGTCCTTCCATCAAGAACCCATCCACACATGCAGATGAGTGCTTTTGGTGGATATATTCTAAGCGGTACTAGAATATGTAAGGACGATCAGCTCAAACAGAAGTAATTCCTCGGCATTTTCCCATTTTCTGACCGCTCAAACAGAAGTAATTCCTCGGCATTTTCCCATTTTCTGACCTTCTGATTGGTTCATGTCAAGAAGCAAAAATCTGTTCCCCTAATGGATGGTTGCTAACTAATAATATCTCAATTAGAATTGTACACTAGTTATTTGTTTGCAAATTTTGGATTGTTCTCGTCTGAGCAAATAAAATTGTCATAAATGGTGTTGTAACATTGTTCTTTAATTATTTTATTTTTATTTAAATTAATTTTTCATTGGCAGTGGCTAAAATCTGTTTTCTGTGCCAATTTTATGTAACAACTGGTGGATCTCCTATTATGGTCATAATGATTCTTATGTGGATGTTGATCATTTGAAGTCCGTCCTTAATTCTCAAAGTTCAATTTCTTTGACATTTGTTGGATCGCCTATTATGGTTATAATGGTTCTTACTTGGACGTTGATAATTTAAGTTGCTTCTTAATCCTCAAAATGCACAAAGATTTTGTTCATGCCTCAAGGTCATGATAAAGAAATCATCAGAAAGTATCAAGATTGGGAACGAGAGTTGGTTGAATATGTTTTCTGGAATAACTAAAGAGCAAATCACACTGTCCGCTTGAAAAGTTTTTAGAAAAATAGTAGTACATTTTTTTGGATTAGGAGGACGTGGAGGCATTGTGGGACTCACACTTTACACACGACACCTCTTCGACAAACACCTGATTTAGAAAATACAACACCTCTTTGACGATAACCTAATTTATAAAATATGTGGGACTCACATTTCACTCGCAACACTTATTCCGAACCCATTCGGTAACTTCCGAATTTAGAAAATATGTGGGACTCACACTTCACTCCCAACACTTACTCATAAATTCAGAAGAAATATCATTGTTTAAGTTTTTATAAGGAAATCTAATTAATAACTTACTAAGAAAAACGAAGAGAAAAAAGTTGCCAACCATAAATTGGTCTCCACATAAAACACTAGAATGCAAAAAAATTCTCTTAATAGCCAATACTAGTTCTTAAATCTTCACATAATTACATATATTCAAGAAAAAATGCATTTAAAGCTTTGTAATTTATATATATCCGGATCTCTTGTCAACCACTAAAAAATCACAATCCCCTTTTTGAGAGAGGGGGACTATTTAAATAACATAAACTTTCTCTTGATTGTTACTTTTAATGGGGAAAAAAAAAATGGTCAGAAACGACGTCGTATTGGATGACGTGTAATACTTGAGATACACATCGAATTGACACGTATCTGTATCGTATGGGACCGAGAGTGGGACCGAGAGTGGGAGAGAGACAGAAGGGCATGAGAAAGGCAAGGGGCAGAGGCGGGGAGTGCTGATTCGAAACGCATCGCCTCTCCTTCCCGCTGTTTTCTGTCGACTCAAGCCCCTAACCCTTCCATCAAGATTTAAGTATTTTCTTCTCCATTTAGGTCTCTCTCTCGCCTCCAAACTCTCTCTCCTCTCCATATCTCTCTTTCTCTCACTCTTTTTTTTTCCCTCCAACATTCACTTTCTCTCTCTCGTTATCTTTCCTTCTCTCTCATGTCGACCTCCAGCGAAGATCCGAATCGTTCACTTCAAGAATCGCTATCTAAAATCCATCTACTGTCTCACTCTCAGTCGCAGAACCAGTCTGCTTTCCCTGCAAATCCACTCTTCTCTCCCTGCTTTCGCAGACCTTATACTTTCTCCTTAATTCCTTCATCCATTGATTCCAATCACTCCTCCGCTCCTCGTACGGACTTGCACAGTGCCGATACACATTCCGCTTCTTCCAAGATTCCGGTGAGTTCTTTCTACTACTCTATCTTCTGATCCTCTTCATATTCATTCTCATAATTAATTATCTATATATGTATGTGTCTGTGCAAATGTTATTGTTTACTTTAATTAACTAGTGTTTTTAGGGTTTCAGTTTTCGAAGTTTCAGATATGTTTGGATTACAGTTGTGGTTTCGTATCAGCGGTTATGTAGGGCTTGTGTATTTAATTAATTGTTTCTTAGAGTAGATTTGCAATGCGGTGATGTAGTTGAATTGTGACAGTCAAATTTGCAGAATCGCATACAGTCATGTATTGTTCAAGGTTTCTAAAATCCAGCATTGGATTCAGTGTTCATTATGTTTCATGTGAATGATAGAATTTTGAAATCTTGTGATTTAAAATGGGGTTCAAAGTTTTTCATTTGTATTGCACAACATGAAAATAATGCATGCCTCAATGGTGTACCACGTCGAGGCAAAAGCGTTTCGATATTGGGAATGTGCTACCTAAATCATTGTTTAGGCCATTTGTAACTTACACATTAAATGCATTTTGTAGCATGTAATTTTCTGATATATAAACCATTAATATTGGTGAAAAGGGATGTTTAGATGAGATTTTGTTGAATAATGCTATTGAGCCTATATTTAGTATAATAAGATGGAAGATCTTCGTTTAAAGAAGGAAAGTGTACTGGGACAGGACTTCTAATTAATTTGGAACTAAAAACCAGTTAAGATACAACTATCTTATCCACCTTAGTTTTAAAAATAAATTATCCAAGTATAATTTTAGTTCGAAATTGTCATGTAGTTCTGTGGATCCTTGGTCAGGCAATTGAATAAAAACTTTAGAAAATAGCAGGCAACAAAATTAAGAATGGAAAGATATATTGAATGGAAATATATATAAATTGCAAGGCCTCAATCATGTGTGAACTGTTTGGCGTGGAGACCAGTTTACAATTTCGGATTTAGTTTAGAATTTACATAAATAAAGATGTGAGTTGTAAAGGGAAAATGATTTTTAGGCCGATTACTTAAAGTGAATTTGTGAGCTTTGATTGGTCATGTATGCAAATTATAAGTGGGACTCTCCACTTTCTTATATTAGGTAAAGATGACCAATCAAAAGCTGTAGGTCAAGCAATTCACTTTGAGAATTCGGCCCGAGTATCACTACTTATTGTAAAAAGAATATTTGAGTTTCAACAAATGTATTCGAACCCTCCACAGTATTTAAAAAATCCATGAATAGTTTACCAAGTTTGATTACAATGTCCAGTAGAGCATGTTAGTTACTTGAAATGGGTCCTTACGGAATCTTTTGTTCACACTGTCAGAAGTTTAGTATAATATCTACCTCTTTCTTTTACCGTTACTTTTTCTAAGCATTGGTTTAAAGAAATTCCTTAAAAAGCTTGAAGTTTTAAACGAATTAATAAACTTCCAAGAGTGATGATATTTTACTTGAATTTTGTGACCTTGTTATAACTAAGCTCCCTTTGCATCGAATTGTTTTGAATGTATTCAAACAAAAAGCTGACATAGGTGTTATGGGTCAATTATTATTATTATTTTTGGTTTGGTTTTGAATTAGAGACGTTAATGCTATGTTTGGTTGGATGGAAGGATTGAGGAGGGATGAATGAGAAGGGGGAATAAAAGAGTTTTTTCGTGTCTGGTTGGAGGGAAGGAAAAAGAAGAAGGAAGCTTCATCCCTTCTTGCTTTGTATTTTTCTATCTGCCCAAGATTGGGGGAGGAGGAGAGAGAAAGAAGGAATAATTAGTAATTTTCATTTTTAAACTTCCCAAAAATTTAGAATGGATATCTAATTTTATATAATGAGGGTATATTGTTTAAAAGAATATAAAACCCTCTTTCCCTTCCTTCCAACCAAACAAAAAAAAAGTGTCACCCATCCATCCTCTCTACATTCCATCCAACCAAACACAAAATTAGGGAGACACCTTCTCTTCCCTAGGGATGCCTCATCCATTCCTTCCCCCCTCTTCCATCCATTTTCCCATCCCTCCAACCAAATAGAGCATAAAAATACTGAACCGACGTCGACTTGAAGCCCTAGCGAACAAGGAACAATTCCACTTTTAGAAGCCATTGTTAACAACGCTCGGTCTCCCTTCATATGGTGAGATAGTGGGATCCCAATCATCCTAAAATAGATGATAATAGATATGAAAGAGAGCTGTAAGCTTGAAAGTGTACAGAGGTTGAGAGCGTGGAAATTTACCCAGAAAAACAGTGGGCTGGAAATGGGCTTGGAACAAGCATCCCATTCGACTGAAACCGAAGATGCAGAAACCTGCATTGTTTTGAATAAAAGTGGTCGTTAGGCCTCAAGAAGCTAGCTATTAAGAACTTTTGGAATCACATATACAAGTGGTTGCCCCTGAGACTGAGATATTCTGCAAGGTGATTCCCTTCTTGAAGGAATATATCTTGTGGGGTTTTCTTTAAAGGGTTGATTGTGGTAGATCCACGATCTTCTGCAGTCGGCTCATAAGGCTGATTGTATATATTTGATCTGCTCGACCTTTCTATATCCTTTAATATATAATCGTTTAATATATATATCCTTTAATATGAGTTCCATATATATTCTATGTATTAAAATTGACTATATATTAATTAGAATTAATGCACCATTGAATTCAATTTACCATTCCAAAATTCTCTAACATATAATCTGACTCTTTTTTGAAAATCAAATAAGACTTGGTAAATGGCATCGGTGATAAAAACTCAGTTGATGGAAACGTGGAGAAAACCGTATTTTTTATTTTTGCAAGATTCTTTTTTAATCTTTTCCATATTTGAGAAGCTGAAAATAGAATCTTTTGTATACCAGTGCCAAGAAGGAAGAGGTAGCATATATCCGAGCTAGAAGATATCATTATAAGCATAGGCCCTGTTTCTTCGATCTGGACTTGCCCCACACATCTAATAGAAAGCAAAACAGTCATGCCTGAAAATTCTAGTATGACTAGATGCATGCCAGAAGTCTACTTCAGTTACTTTCCTGGGTAATTCATCAAAGTTTACTTAAAAACAAATAATAAAAAAATAAACAATAAAATAAGTAATCAAAGTTTATTGAGGCAGTTGACTACATGACGTGTTTGGTGTATTTCTCTTTGCGCATCCAGGCGCTGTCACGTCTATACTATAAGTACTTTTTTTTTTTTTTGGCAGTTGAAGCAAAAAAATGAAATAGGTAATTGCAAGGCTAAGACTAGCGGACAGGCATCTATTCAAGGATGTAGTGAAGCTGAAGCATTCAGCAACCCTTTTTCTGGACAAGAGTCTTGCCCAGGTGTTAACCGTTGCAATAAAGCAAAGGTTTCAAGACCTACCAAGTCTGGGATTCAAGGTCAAAATTCTGAAACAATTTTAATTATATTCATGTGAACAATTATTACTAAGTCATATTTCCTGGGATACTGACTTTCATTGTCGTTGATTATTCTTTCTATGCAGAGCTACCTGATAGTCTCAATCCATCTAGTGGTTGTCGTTACGATAGTTCTCTAGGTGAGCCTAATTGAAGTTGTATCTGCAAACTCCATGTACTATGCATGCATGCATGCAATATGTATATAGTTGATAGGTTGGCTGCATTATTACGTTTAATTTGTTAGTTGCCTTTAAGATTTTAGACAAGGGATGTAATATGTTGTTGCAGGATTGTTAACGAAGAAATTTCTTAGCTTGATCCAGGAGGCAAAGGATGGCACACTTGATCTGAACAAGACTGCAGATGTACTGGAGGTATGCCTCCATATTTTCCTACAATGCAAATCATTCTTGGTTTTTAAGCTCTAGTTTGGTCCCCCAGGAATTTTTTTGTGAGAAATTGAAATGAGTTTGAAAATATTGTCATCTATAGAACTGAAGAGACCCAAATCCCATGAGACAATGTAAGGAAACTTTTATGTGGGTATGTTTAGCATCATTTTTCCCTGTGACCCTAAATAGATAAGCAGATAAATATTTGTTTACATATACTAGTAACTTAATTTTCATATTCTATGTTACCAGTCTCATTTAAGGCAAAATTTTAAATGAGGCATCATCAGCTGTGGATTTAAAACTAAGAGAAATTCTAGAAAATGTTTGCTTTCCTTAATCTTTTTTGTGTTTTTTGATTAATTAGGATTTAAAAAAAAAATGGTTATATAATGTATGATACTTAATAAATTTTTTACAGGTTCAAAAGAGGAGAATTTATGATATTACAAATGTTCTTGAAGGAATAGGATTGATAGAGAAAACTACAAAGAACCATATTCGCTGGAAGTAAAATTCTTAACCCTTTTCAATTTCTTCCTTGCATTTCATTATTTGCTAATGACTGGTGAACCTATTAAACAGGGGACATGAGGCATTGAGACTAAAAGAGCGGGATGATCAAGTTACTAGATTGAAGGTACATAAACTAGTTCAAAATGATAGGGCCGATGTTTCTCCTTCTTTCATGTATTGGTAACAACGTTCACTCTGTAGCCGTATACAGTGTATAGTTATGGAAATACACATTGATTGTGTTTTTGCATAATATGAAAGCATTGTGCTTAGCACAATAATACTTTGTGAATACTTTAAGTTCTATCTCTTTCTCGTCCTATTGCTGCAGAGTATATATGCTGACATGGGTATACAATTTCCATGTTAATTTTATTTCAATTTTTACATTCATTGGTAATAAAGACATGCTATTGCCATCCACCCCTATGGCTCTTGCCAAATTTGACCATAAACTGAGAGCCTACGACCACACTTTACAAAACTGAAAGTAATTAACCATTTTGCAGTAGGCAGTATTAGAATATCGATACATGGTGGAAGACGATAGCGTTTGTTGTGTGCTTCTTTATAAAGCATTCTGGTACTTGGTTCATCTGTCTGAGCTAGAAATAATCCGAGAATCTTAAAATCAGTGTTTTGACCAAATCTATGTGTTTGGTGAACTGGATAACAAACTGCCACATAGCAAGATTACTCAGCTAGTTGCAGCAGATGTGTACCTGGAGTGCCAACTTATTTTTAGGATTCAACTAAGAGCTGATATTAAAGATACAATATCGTTAATTGAACAGAAATGCACCTCATGTCGGGCAGATTGTAGCATCTCTACCATCTTAATTAGCGGTTTCTGGTAAAATTACCATGTGATAAGATGCATTATGATTTCATGGTTGAGTGAAAATTTTTGTTAATAGTTCAAACTCACACTATATAGTTGGTTATTTCAAGCTTCTTACTGCACACTGTTTTTGGCTTCATGACAGGCTGAAGTTGAAAGTTACTGTGCAGAAGAATGCAGGCTTGATGATTGCATAAGGTTTTGTTATAACTTGGAAATGGGATGTATTTTATTTTGGTTGACCACTAGGTCACTAGAATGTCACTCTAATATTGAATCCTTTCTTCAGGGAAAAGCTGGAGCATTTGAGAGCCTTGGAATGCGATGAACATTTTCAGAAGTATATTTGTTTCTTCTGATGTCTTTTTCTGTATTTGAAGGTAGATTTGCTTCAACTTGACAGTATCTATTTGAACATTTTAGGTACCTTTATTTGACGGAGGAAGATATCACGAGCCTTCCTTGTTTCAAGGTTCATTCTTAGTGGATTTGGGAGTTTCTTTAAATACAGTCTTATCTGATATTTCCTTTAGATTCATGCATGTTTATGCTATTATTTTGCCAGAACCAGACTCTGATTGCAGTAAAAGCTCCATATGCTAGTTGCATTGCGGTTCCTGATCCTGACGAGGTGGGTAATATGGGTTAATGGGGTGGAAAGTTTTTAGTATGTTTTAATTATCTGATTGGTTATTATGAGCAGGATACTGGTTTCGCACAGAGGCAGTTTAAACTTACTGTTAGAAGCACCACGGGGCCAATAGATCTGTATTTATTGAGGTGTTTATTTTCTTCATATCTCCTCTCTCTCTCTCACACACACACACCTACTTGCATGCACAGGTGGGGGCTGGGTCATCACATCTTTGTCCAAATTTTTTTGGCCCCTCTTAATAGGTGCATGTTACATTATCTAATGGCTATGTTCCTGATGCTTGTAGCAAATATGAAGGCCAATATGATGATATGAGCATCGAGCGAATTAAATCAACGGATTCATCTGCTTGGAATAGTGACCGATATGAGGCCAATACCACAGAACTGCCTTCAGATCATCAAAATTTTCAGAGACTACCTGTTGATGCTTTCAGCTCAAAAGTGTCTGGGATTCAGAAGATTGTGCTGTCGGACTCTGATGTAAATTTATATTGAAGTGGCTATTTGATTTCTTCTTCTTCCTCCCTGAAAGTAACTCTTACCAATTTTTATCTGCATCCGATCATATCCTTTATGCAGGTTTGCGATGATTATTGGTTCCAGTCAGATCATGAAGTCAGTGCTACAGATTTGTGGGGTATTCAAAATCCTTAATTGTTAAGTCGGTAATTGAATCCTGAAATGACGTCCTGCAATGAGAACTATTGCTTAATCGGCATCTCTGTACCAGTAGTTCTGAAATGGATTATCATGCAGATGATTAACTCCAGCATCATTCTGGCATGAGAAATGCAGCATCAACTCAGTGACCAGCATTGCCCATAGGTGGTGTCCATAAACAAGATGAAAACAAGGTAGGTAGCTTTTAAAGATGACCAGAAGGCTTATATTATACCCCATTCATGTTATGAAGTGTAAATTTTATAGCTAGATGATTCTTTAAAGTTACATTAATAAAAACAAACGAAAAAGTTTCTGAAATAAGAATAAAAGTTATGGGAAGTTGAGATCTGTATCAATTGCATGTCTGTTTTGTCCAATACTGAACAACAGTAGTCATGATAACGAGCCTCAATGGTGAGGGCTGTGCCCAGCTTAAGTGTGTTTGCGTACGGAGATGCTAGAGTTATGTGATGTACTTCGATATTTGAACTATTTTAGGGCAATGGGTATGGAAGAATGCCTAGAAATCTGACCCTCAATGCTGTTATGAGAGAGATATGGCTTGACTTTAGTAAGTGATCAATTTCATTGATTAAGAGTTTGAATTTGAGACTAGTAACTATTGGGTCTGTATTACGGAAGAGCAATGCTATACTTGCCGACATTGCCCCACAATTGAGAGATGTTGCAATGTCGTCAATTAGACTTTTTCATCATGAAAATGGGAACAAGAAAAACTTTATGGTATTTCGGGCCAAGATCAGTCGTCAGATATCAGGGACTCGTGCATAATGTGCATTTGTTGTTGGCCAAAATTAATTCAAAATTTCTTCTATACAAATTTTATGCTGCTCATTTTGAAATACTCCCGTGTCAATTCAATTTAGCTCACAAGGTTGAAATGTGAAATTTCTGAATCTATCCTGAGATAAAATACTGCAATTAAACAAAGAAAAAGAAACACTGAAGTCAAAGCACAGCCATCAACCTAATGCCAAACATTATGTTACACAACTAAACTAATACACTAATAAATCACGCAACATATTGTTTTGGTCCACAAGAAAACCTAAGGGAATCGAGTGATAGTGGTTTCTATAGCAACAAGTGACGAAAACTAACATATTATTCTGAAAAGGCCACTCTACTCACTTCAATCTCTTAATTGTCTCTAGTATAAATCTGAACCTTTTTTTTTAGCACCACACCAAGAATCAACTCCTTTTGTGCACTATTTCTATATAATCTTTGGAATTTAGAACTTGTAATACAAAGTGCAAGGAGCACACCCCATGAGAACGTACGAGAATCCAGTAAGTGAAAGAAAGTAGAAAAATGCAGCAAAGATACAAAAAATCATAACCAGAAATGCGAATGAACACATAGGCAGGATAATAACAGAATAGAATAAACCATTAAAGGGGCCTCTAAATCTCAACCAACAATCAGAATGCCACATTATTAGCTTCACTGTACATTGGAACCTCCCTCAAGGAAAATTTAATGGGAATGCGAAAATCAAGTATATCAAAGCATACGATTCGTTACTCCTCAATCCAAGTAACGAAATCTTGAAATCACAAATTTCATCACTAAAGTGGACTTGCCCAATGCCTGGTTTGTTTTTTCCACAGTTTTGGTGCATTCATAGGCTGGATAATAACAGCAAACTATGAACCAATTGAAGTTCAAAGACACAAGAGAATGGGATCATACACTACCATCTGGTAATGAAAGAGCCAATTGTTCTGTATGCTCACACCATACAAAGAAAACAATTGTTTGATTCCAAAAGCTGCATTTTCCCAAACAAAATTCTAACTCAAACCTAAGAAACTAAGTAACTTAAATTCCCATTGCCATGTATTCTGGAATCCATCATTCATGTAAAGGGAAACAAATTTAATTTAGATATGACTAAGGCTATGGCTATCAAGGGAATCCTCTCATGACATGAGTCATAAACTCTCTTCGTAAACCATTGGATTCAGATGATTTTTGGGATTTGGGATATCTGAAAAGTTCAATAAATATTTTAAAAAATCACTCAATCAAACAGTTAACAAGAAGAGTACATGAGAGAGTTAAACAAAAAAATCAGACTCTGGCTTCCAACAAAACTGAGTAAAAAATAAGGGAGAGAAGCTATAAGGTCAACATAATTTTTGATCTTCGTCTTTTTTAGCATGGGCTGCCTAGCCATCCAACAAAATTTATAGCTGTCTCCTAGTTTGGTGCCTCTCACCATCCTAATCAAAATTAGAAGACTTCAATTTCATTTCTAAGAGGCCTAGTAACCATAACGCCAAAACAGAACCAAAAAAAAAAAAAAAAAAACATTGACTTAAACCTAAATAAATTACCTACTGAAAGATGATCCGTTTGAGTGCTTCACTGCGTCTCTGCACATTATTCTTGTCAACAACTTGAGCAAAGTAGACAGTAGTCCGCAAATCGGAACTGTGCCATTGTTGGAACATCCAATGACTGGTCAGCAGCTATGGCATCCGACACACTCAGAATCTCAATGTGATTGACCGATTCAGTCAGAGTGACTCCTTCTCGATCTGGAGCTTTCCTTCTCATCTCCTTTGGTTTGATTCGAAACAGCGACAGCCCTGATGGCTGCTGAAGCCGGTGTTGAAGAGGATGTCTGTTCAACCTTGTGCTTCTTGTGAACCTGACCATGTTGAGTTGGTTCAGCAGGTGAAAGCTGCAAGAAGGCAGCAGGAATATGCCAACTCCGTGTCTTGATAGCACGGTAGGTGAAACAGGCCTAAGTCGTTGATAGTTGGCACTGTTGAGGTCGGCTAGCTGGAGTAACATTTTTGGGAAACATCTGCCACTCATCATGATCTCTAGGGCCTAAATGTGGAGTACAGGCCTCTCCAATGGTAACATCCTCCATTGTGTAGTTGCTTACACTTGGAAGCCATGAGTATCATCATGCCAGTCAAAGAGCCACGCAGGACGACCAGTTGTTTTTGCCGGTAAAGGCTCAAACTTTAAGAGTTTCTTGGCCCTAAGAATGACAGTAAGACTGTAGAAACAGGCTTCATCCATAGTCCCGTTGGCATTTATATGCCCCGGCATAGTAAATTCCTATCTGGATTATTGTGACATATGTTCCTGACATATCTGAAATATTTATGATTTATATAATTGGTGAATTCAATATATTATGTTTCGATTCACTATGAAATTGATAGTGTCCATTTAATTACAAGAAATATTTATATATGTATGTGATGGCAATCAATGCATGATATATAAATAGTAATTATAAATTGTTCATAGTCGGTAATTATGGATGGACTCATAATTAATTAAGACTTGAACTGGTTCCGCGTTAGGTTGAGATATATTGCGAGAGCCGTCGTATGCAATTACTCCCTATCACCGTCATGGCATTTGACTCTTAAGCATGAGAAAAGTATAGACTCTTTTATTAATTAATAATTACTTTGATTTGTTCGGCGGATTCTTCGGGATCCTTAGACCGACACTTTGGGTAGTTATGTAATTAATAGTTAGAGGGTTATATTTTCAATATTTGCATTATTGCTACTTCTATTTATTTTGTATTGATTATGGTTGATCACAAAGTAAATTCGAAGGCCTTCGTATGTTTTTAGACAAAATGATTTATTATATATTTATTTATTTAAATTATTATTTTTGTTAAACAAATGTTTTATTGTGATCGAGGCAGAAATAATCAGAGGTACCAAAATAGATATATTAATTAAGTAGTCGGATTGATGGCTTTATTTATTCGATAACTAATTATGCATAGAGGGGTCAAAGTGCAATATTGACTTAGAGGTTATTTATTATTTAATTGGAGTTCAATTAATTTCTTTTAATGGAGTAGAAATTAATTTATGAATTAATTGAAATTGGGTCCATGGACCGGGCCAATTATTAATTCATTGTAGCCAATAAAATAATAGGCCTAGTGGATTCTCATTCATAGCCCAACTTGATATTGAAATCATATTAAATTTGAGACATATGAATTAGAGATGGAGAAGGATTTGTTGTTTCCTTTTCTTTATTTTTATCTTGCCTATAAATATACATGGCCTATGTATATTTTAGGGGTGATTTTTATGAGAAGGAAAAAAGGAATAAATTTTCTCTCTCTAGAAAATTAGGGTTTATGTTCTCATCTAATGGAGGCTCCCACAAGCCTAGTTTTCCAAGGTCATTCATGGAGGCTTATGAGTGATTCCTAAAGGCAAAACAATTACCAAGAAGATGGAGATCCAAGAAGAAGGCATCTTGCTAAGGGATCTATAATAAGTGAGAACATTCACTTTAGAGGAAAGTTTTAAAGGTTTACTCAGACCTTTGATGTAAGTATTCAATCCATTAATTGAATGATACATCATATTTTTATTTTTGTATAAAACTTGTCTCTATGTGATGAATCAAGATTTATGAATCAAAATCCCTCGAAAAGTTTTTAAAACTTGCACATTTCCCAACAGTGGTATCAGAGCATGGTTTGATTCATTACTAGAGATCATGTTTTTATCAAAATTCATCATTCATGGATCCAATTTTGATATGCATATATATTTATTTATTGATGTATGTTGATGTATGATTTAATATGTTGATATATATTGATACATGATGATGTATGAATAATTGTGAATGAATGATGATGTATGGTTGGGCCATGGATGAAGCTTATAGGTTAAATTAATATAATTTTATCTTTGGATGAATGTAATTAAGGTTTTGATTTAGCCGTTTGAAAGTTTAATGATGTAATTTATTTTTCCCATTGTATTTCAAGTTGTAAATATTTTTAAAGCCATGTAATATTCATCAAAGGGTGCTATGAAACTTCAAGAAGGTCCAAAAGGGTTATATTATGCTTCAGGAATTTTCTGAGATTTTTTAGAAATTTTTCGGAATTTTTCTGGAATTTTTTAAGGCCTAAGTTAATTTCTGGAATTTTTTAATTAATTTCTGGAAATTTTTCGGCGATTTTCCGGCGACCTGAAGTTGCCGGCGGCGAGGTATTGGCTGGTGATAAGGGTGACTGATCAGGTACTTCACGGTCCACCATAATATGGTGCAACCGGATTACAAACCGTCACATTAATATTAAAAAAAAAAAAAAGGAAATTATCCAGCGCTCCGCAGCATCAGTGCGCACCCAAGGGAAGCGCGCGTGTTGTGCACGTGCCTACAAGGCGCAACTGTATTGCCAACAAGCTGGCGCGTGAACCTCACGCGTCAACCAAAAATGTGTTTCAGCAATCTGGCGCGTGAAGTACACGCGCCAGACATATGTTCATTGAACCAGGCGCGTG